TAATGATTTCCAGATTCACATCTGGTTATTACTCGAAGAAAAATGGATTCCTAAGCTTCGAAGTGTAGCGATCCCTCGGTACCAATAAAAACTTGTACTTCACAGGGAATGGCCATTAAACATCAATTTGCCGACTACATCTCTGAAAATTGCCCTTTTTGGGTCGATTCAAAGCATTTAGAGAACAGCCATCCTCTCGTGAGCTTTTCTAATTGCTCTCCATCTGCTTTACCAAAAACTAGTCATGCTCGGATAAGAGGGAGACAGGTACTTCCGCAGCTTCAATCAGCCCATAGGAAAGCTCAAGGGTAATCATGCAATCCGCTGAATGGCCCATGACTGCATGCCATTCACAAAACACCTTTGCTCTCGTAGTCGACGTAGAAATTGAATAAAAGTTCTGTCGCCTCGTCAGCGACGGAAACGGCAATGCAATTGGCTGTTCGTGCTTGTCGCTTTCGCCCTCCTAAACAGAAATGCTCCCGGGCAATCAACCGAATGATCACCTAGAAAACCTGACTATGGCTATGGTGTCAGGATTCTGGTTACCCTCTATATCGCCCTTATTCCAGAAAGCTCCTTGGAAACCGTCCAACTCGACAGTGGAAGCTTTACCTCGATTGAGTGGGTGCTTAATCCAACCCATTTCGACCGTAGAAAGCGCCACTGATCGCCAGCTATCTCATCCCCCCCTCCCCCGCGGCCTCCATCCGCTCAACGCCTAGGAGAACACGGCTTGTTCTCGGAATATAAGCCGATGAAGCTTCTTTGATTTTGAAATCTTCTTGTTGAAAGTGCACTACGAGACGCCAGTGAGATCTAAGCTAATGACACTACACCAACACTAAACTAGCGGCTCCCAGCGATAGATCCGAAGATGAGTTGGATGGGAACCTTAGCGATACTTAGAAACAAGAACCAGGTATCTTTTCACTTCCTCTAGGACTTGCATAAAGACATCAGAAAAGCTCTGACAGGGCAGAGATCGGATTGTAGCTTACAGAACGATGTCAAAAGTGACAGCACTCGGAAATCTATTTTCTCGGAAGAAGGTTGAATGCATGGCTTATCCCACCCTTCCAACATTAGATCATGATGGGAAGGATGGAAGTGATGACAACGGAAAGGAGAGGAAAAGGAAATGATGGGAATTTCTTTGTAGAAAAACTTCAGGTGTCCTTCAAAAAGTAAGCTATGCCGGGTGTTTTTTTTCATTTGAATATGGCATGCAGAACTTAATCGCTCGAAAAAGTGCAAACATGCGAAAGAAAGGCTTCAAAGAAAGCCGTTCTCAAGCCTGTGTCAAGTCGACACTATTTATGTACTGCGATATGGATAGGCTAGATAAAGAAAATTAGAAAATATTCGAAGAAAATATCGTTTTTTTTTCCGGAGCCTCAACAGGGCCTAAATGGTGTATAACACAAAGCGGCCCAAAAGGTTTTTCCATGTATTTAACCCATAAGGCGGAAGTGGTGCAGTGACAAGTGGCGCGCTCACCACGCGAGCGGTCCGGGATCAAATCCTGGGTCGTGAGTCGCCCGGGCCAACCAAGCCTTCCATCCCTCCGGGGTCGGTTAATTGGTACCAGACTTGTCTGGGAGGATAAAACACTGACTTGTACATCGGCTGGCCCCCGCAAGTCATTGTATAGGCCACATCGCATTCAAACGCCACTGCGAATGTACAAATGGAAGTAGAATGCGTGCCGCATCCCAAAAAGGGATTGATCAACGGCAAATGCTTTATCCTTTATTTTACCCCATACGACGGCCAGTGTATTTGTTCGCGTGCGCCACCATGTGGCGCACGCCGCCACCCAGGGTAGGGTTTATGTAGGCTTATGTGAACAGCAGGGGTAAGACGGGGCTAAAGTAGGTGTCGGAGTCTCATCATCCGAAAAAAGAGATTTCCGTTGACGACAAGTTCGTAGCCCGCCTTTCCGCTCTAAAACTAGGGTGCAAAGAATGAATGGAAGCTGTAGGTGACATTATCGAAAAATGCGAAACAACAACCCCGAGCAAGGATGTGGCTATATTTAGGGGAAGGGGTCTCGGGACGTGCGAACCATGGGTAAGCCACCCATCAAATAGTAAACTTATGTAAATTAAGACAAAATGTATGTAAAATTTATTGTAGGTTTGTCAAAAATCCAGCCGTCCAGGTCCTGGGAAGATATGTTATTCCACATTGCTGAGAGTATATATGGGTATATTAAGATTGCTAGAAACATTCCAAAAACAAAAGAAATAGTCGTGCGCCACCTTGTGGCGCACGCCGTCCGTTATGGGTTAAAGGTCACAAAAGCTTCAAATATTTCAGAAAGCCAGTTAAGTGTGGAAGTATATGAGGGGCTGAGGCAATCCAAATGGTTGTATGTGGATTTGGGCAACTATCAGTAATAAATTTACCGCCCATGGTTAATGTATGTCAGGGCTGACAAAGTTTTTACAGAAGTAACGCCAAAGTATTCAAATGATCTCGATGTTTTTGAAAAAGTTCGGATTTTTCCTGGATCTTTGGAGCTTTTCTGATAAAAATTACGGTGCCTCTTTGTGTTATTCAGTTAGAAAATCGTTGTCTGTTTTGGAGGGTAACAAAGAGGACGTTGAGACCCAATCGAACCTTTTTAGCGCCTTTCACAGGACCAACACCCGTACAGCGGTTTCAATTGTTAACAGGCGATTTATTTCACTACGATATAAGAAGCTTTCTCTTCGCACATTAGTTCGTTTTACCAGGTCGAAAGGCGTCTATTTCACCTGAGAACCCTGTAATACTTCGGCGAAGCGATAGGAGTATTCGACGAACGATAAGTGGTTTCAATGGAGATAAATGCTGTCATTTGAGCGCACGGAAATAATGTATAACAACAACAACAGCTATTAGACAGCTAAACAAAAAAGCTTCCTATCGGAAGTTAGAATACACAACCAAAACTGCAGTTCCTGGAACACAGACGCAAATGCAGCCACAAGGACCCTGAGTTCTGGGCAAGACACTACGGTTCAGGTGACACCCGCAGGCAAGGGTGCCTGACAGGAGGATTGTCGCGCGGCGAGAAGGCAGATATGCAGAAGGTCAGAGGACGAGTTGCAGCGTGTACTGTGTGATGTAGGACATACTATATTACTCGAAATCACTGTAGCCCTCACCGCAATCACCTCTAGGAAGCCAAAATACAACCCTTTCCAAAAGCCACATATAGTACCCCCTGCGCCAAGAATTTCCCAGGAATGTGGACGCGAGGTGGCAAGTAGATGGTGGACAAAAGTATGAATAACGATCACAAGCACGACTATTCGAAAGGCTGTATTCACTTTTTCAGGAAACTAGAAGTGCGTGGGTGCAGACCATACACCACAAGTGACGACGGCCTCCAAGTAAATCTGGTTAGTAGTGGTTCATAGTGATAGCTGATTTTTGGTAAATGATAGTTGTAATTAGTGACAACTGATAGAATACAACTGCAACAGGCTAATCATTTCATTGGCAGAAAACATTTACATTTTGTGGAGGCCGTCGTCACTTGTGGTGTATGGTCTGCACTCGACGCACTTTTGATTTCTGATACACAAGATGGCTTCATTTTTTTCCTAGGAAACAGGCTCGCTTTGAGCGGCGAACTCTGTTTCCTGTTTCAATCGTACTACAAAAGGTTGCTGATGGGTTGATCTGTGGTAATTTCCTGAGAAACCTTACTTGGAGGCGCTTAGGCCTGCTCACGTGAGTAAAATCCTGAGATGTAGTTCTAAATCGCACGGCGTCCAGGACACAGAGCATCAATTTTTATGCTCCGGAAAGAAAAAAAGCACCAGATGAAGCAGCGCTCATCACTGATCAATTATACACTAGAATGCGCTACAAACTCTACTTCCATTGAAAATCGTAGTAACCTTTGGAAGACGATTAGGCCCATACAATGGTCTCTGGGGGCCAGCCAATGTACAAGACATTTTTCTCACATACAATTGGTAGAAACTAGATGACCTCGGGCAGTTTGGAGGTTTGGTTGGCCCGAAGGTATAAAACCTCGAATTTGATTCCTGGCTCGTGCATGCTGCAAACATTGCTGAGCGGTTGCCCTTGAGACTTGCTACGTCAATTTCGGCCCATGTTCTAAAGAAATCAGTGGACTCATTACACATTAGAAGCAAATCAATGGGATAGGTAAGTTGACTCTCGAGGGCAAAATGGTGGCGTTTGATATATGTTGGCAAGTCATGACAATCTGGGAGGATCCCAGCAAACTGTTCCAAAATGATCTCTTTAAAATTTACTTTTGAAACCTTAGACACCTAAATATGTTGTCCAATCCAAGTAATCCTTTAGTAGCTTAAAGAGACGGTAGCCACAAATGATACACCTCCCTAGCCCAAGTACCGATGCTTTCAAAATTTAGAAAAGTTAGAATTCTACAACTTTATTGACATAGAATTCAAGACTTGCGGTAGATTTGATCGCTCTGGAACTGTGGTATGGTGGGCGTAGTCCTTCCGTAAAGGGGCGGGGTTGCGCTATAAGTAATGGATGAGTTACTGTTTTTTGTGGTCTTATCGGCAGTTCATTGGGAGGAAATAATCTGGAGGAGTAGTTCGATACTTTTTTGTAGCGAGAATCATAGGTGCATTGTATTTACGATTTCGCTCAGAGCGCACTTACGCTATCGGCTGCGTCATTTACGCGCCGTTTAATTCAATTCTAAGCTTTCAAATATGTAGGTGATGAGATAACAAGGGTTATGGGAAATGGCTCTTGCAGTTTTTCCCTTCGCATTAAATGCACTTGCATCATACACGGTTCAACCAAGAATCAAACATTCAAAGCTGTCGCGACCGATTGTAGCTTTTAAGAATGCTGCCGTGCATTGGACCCACTCATCATCACAAATCGTTCTGATCTTTGCGTTTTAGAGCTATTCGCAACTATTTATGTGCCTTTGAAATATCGCTGTGAGTCTTCCCCAGTCGCAGCAAGGTACACAATTTGGTTTCCTACACGACTCATTGATTGAATTAAAGCGAGGATCGTCCCCGCCAAATGACTGCCTGAGCCCAATGCATGTTTGATAGAACTGGCCTTTAAACGCACTAACACCGCCTCCAGCCATGGTAGCAGTAATAGATCCACACGAAGTGGTGAGAACAAATGGCCACGAAGATCATGAGGATTATTTCGTGAAATGAAGCTAAATGAGCATAATCTGAAGAAAAAGGTTCCGAGTGCTCATTGCAAGAGGATGAAATTCCACCTCATACATGCGAAAAAAAAGTAATCACATAGGAAATCCGATTCCTCCAAAAGATTTATCGTCCTCATTTGTCAATAGCGTGGCACATTCTTGACATGAACGCAACATGCACTTATAAAAGAATACTCCCTGCGGTGTTTTCCCAATCACGTGATTTTGATCCGAAAAAAATATTGTTTCATTCTGGTGCGCGCTTAAGTAAATCGTTATCTTGCATTAGGTCCCGAAAAGAATTGCGCCACAATAGCGCGAGTTTGAGTACGCTCCTCGCATATTCCTACATTAGCCAATTTCTTTGGGACCGTAAATGCCAGATGACCGATTTACTTTAAGTCCTATCGAAATGGATCAACTTTTCAGGTCCCTCTGGAAAACACCGCAGATACCTACATTTATTCAAGACCCTAGGAGCAGTATAATGAGCAGGTTTCACCACCACTGAAGCCAGCTTTTTCACGACCCCAAAAGCAAGATTCCAGTCCATCGAAGAAACCTCTAGAGGGGTTCGCGTCTCCTCGAGTCGCACGAGCATTCCAATCTATCAGCCTGGAGAGTGACAACGGCCGCTCTGCTCCATTGATCTCTTGCCATGTCAATGCTGGCGTGAATGAGCGAATCTCTCCAGTGTGAACTCCAGGACTCAATTCACCTATCCCAGAGAGACTTCAGTTTCCCTCCTAGCTCAAACAACCAGAGCTGCGCGGTCATCGAAGCCTCAGATTATGCTTGGTTTCGGGTCAAGGCATGGTCATATGCTTTCGCAATGGCTTACGCTTAAGCCTATGATTGTGCCTGCTTAGTCTTGGGCCCTGCTTCGAGCAAGTGAGTTGTGCCTTTATTTCAGGAGACCTGACCTAAGGAGAAAAACTGAGACGCTCCCTTATCCCTTTGTACTTGCCTCTATTTCCGCTCTCTCCTCCTCTCCTCTCCCCCTTATCCACTAAATTCAAGCGGGGGAGGAAGGAAGAGGACATGCAACGCACATTGGGAGAGGGGAAGGTCTCTAGATTTGTACAAAAAAAAACGTTTAATCTGAAAGGAGAACTGTTCAACGTCACTTGCAAAAATATCAACTTCTCAAGGTTGCTGTTGTTCCTAAACTACGATCACCCTCCCCCAGCAGGTAAGGTATTCCATCTATCCAACCCCATGCAGTGTCTTCCCGATGGCCCCTACTTTTCTAAGGCTCCCAGAGCAATGCAAAGTATCTCATAGAAGGTCCATCCATGATACTGTTCCGAACCAGATGCGGCGTTTAGTGTGGCAGCGACACACTACAAGTGACGGACGGCCTCCAAGTAAATCTGATTAATGGTGGTTCATTGTGATAACTGATAATTGGTAAATGTTAGTTGTAAGTTAGTGACAACTGACAGAATACAACTGTAATCGGCTAATTATTTCATTGGCAAAAAACATTTATTTATTTTGTGAGACCGTCGTCAATTGTGGTGCGTGGTCCGCATCCGACGCGCATCTGGTTTTCGGAAGCCGAAGACAAGCACTATGGAATCATCGCTTCCAAAATCATCGGTAAAAAGGTCAAGCATGTTGCGGTAGAGATCAAATAACAAGCCGTGACGGGGCCTAGTTATAAGGTGGCTCAAAAGAGTCCAGTGAGTAAGGGAGAGTACGATTTCAAGGTTCACAGGCCTAAAGTCTAATGGAGCGCGCCAAACATAGCATCCTACCGATAAGGAGCTAAATAATAAGCGGCTTTGTAAACCGACTTACTACGTCAGTGATTGAGCTCTCCAGCATGCTCATGCACTTTTCTTCCCAGAATCATTTAGGGTTTTTTAGTGCATTCAGAATGAAGTACTCATCAAGAACTACGCAATTTCTCTCTTAGGAACGTCAGAAAAAGAAAGTCGATAAGTATGGCAAAAATTTGCCAAAGATTAATCGATCGCCAAGAAAAGCTCGCTATAAAAATCGTGCTAAAAATAGGGCGTGAGAAAAAAATAATTTTTGAAAGACGACAAATATTTCTAGGGTTTTCTATGGAAAATACCAGCTTCATACCTGTCTATAGGTGTCCTCAATAGTTGGCACATAATTCTCTGAGAATGTTCCTTTAACAAATCGTTGAACAATCGACGATTTACCGACGCCTCCAGCACCAAACACCGCGACTCGGTAATCGGCCGACACCGCCGCGTCGCCGATCCGGCCGCCCTGAACACTCAACTATCTACCTTTACCTTACCTAAAGGTTACCTTACCTAAAGGACTTCGATAGCACTTACCGAGCCAGATGGGTTTGCCGTGTCCTCAATGCTGAATGTCGTTTATCCTTAAAAAGTGGGTATTCATTCAAGGCTATTCATAAAAGCGCTGAGAGATGACATGATGCAGCTAACGGGTTGGCATTAATTATAAGGAATGCCGAAAGAAAAAAACGGAGAAATGCGACGGGAAATGACGTCAGAAGGATCACAAAGAAAGGATTCTTGAAGAAATGCTCATGAATGAATGACAATCGTGTTCAGCCGGGGCAAAAAAAGAAGTCGAATGGCCTTCGACGGCAGTCAGTCCAAAGGGCAATAGCATTATGGGCGACAAATGCGATATGAGGCAGCGTCCGTTTTGTGCGGCGTGAGTTCGTGAAGGCAAATCGCCAGCCAGCCGACGACGGAGAGCCGAAGAGAGAGAGACCGAGCAAAATTGGTATTTCGCTAGATCGATAGAGTGGTGAAGAGTTCGGTGGAAGTGCTGCTGGAAATTCTATGCTATCCTCAGAAAGGAAGCGCGGGTGGTGAGGTCAAGGACCACCGGAAATGTGCGCAGTGTTGAAGGAAGCGCGAGTGCAAAGCTGGTCTTCATTTCTGGTTCAGCTTCGGGTTCTCAGAATGGTTTCAGGGCTGTGCCGGGGTAAAAGTTTGCAGATGCAGACTCTGAACTCATAGAACCAGCCGGATGAGCTGAGTCCAGGCGTAGTCGACACGCCATTGACGCCTGGTAGCTGTGCATTATTCAGACATGCTCTCTCCCTCGACTATGAGAGTAGGCGTCTCACGCGACGACACACAAGAACTGCTCTGCCGTGTGCGTGAGTGAGCGAACTGCTCGAGAAGGGCGCAATTGAGGGAAAAGTGCAAAACAAAGAAATCATAATTGGAATAGACGCCGAAGCTGCTTATTCCCCACTCATATGCCTGCCCACGTACGTCAACAAAACGCCCCCGGACCTGCACTTTTGCTCATTCTCAATTGAACAGCATAAGACATGCGTGGGAACGAAATGAGAACAGAGCTAGGGGATCAGAATTTATGATGGGTGGTCCTAGCGCCCAGAGAAGAGCTCATAAAGGAGATCATCACCCCTGGAACGTGTCCATTGGGTGGCAAGGATCCCCAGCTGTTCTTCTAGCACTCGAGCCAGGAAACCCAGGCAGGAAACTGGCGTTATCCGCAGTTCGAAACCATAAGTAAACAACATTGTTGACAAGACAAAGCGTAGAATTCGAAAGCAGACAACAAAAGCGGCTGAAAGAGGCGCACTTTGTGGAAGACGAGAGATCCACCCTCGAGACATGCGAGGCGTTTGAGTGTTTTGCAAAGAACCTCAGAAATGGTCGAATGTGGTCGTGCAGCAACGGATAGCACGGGGCGAAAAGCATACGCGGTGTAGTGCCGAATCCGGGGGTCCAACCGTTGAACTAGCCCCCCTCCCCCCGCGATCGATTCAAAGCGGGGAGCACAAGCTCTCGCGCGAATAGCATTAGACCTACTTATGACCTGAAGGCAATGAGGCGGCCGTACTCTCACATACTGCAGTGTACTTTGTGCTCTCTTAAGAAGGGCTTGGGACCGTAATCTGATCTCCTTTCGGGCAGTAGCCTGAGTAAGGCGGTGGCAAGCATGAGGAAAACAAATGACTGACGGAATAAAATCAGGGAAATCTGTGTGGGGAACGCGCGTAGCGCCATAGATTGAATTGCATATTCAATGAGTCTCGACAGAAATTATCTGCTTACGCTCTAACCTCTCCCATGTGGGAAGCTCTCCGAGAAATGCGCCGCGCGACATCTTATTTCGTCCAAACATCCGCTTAAAGAGGATCATCCTCACCTAAGACATGATTCCCATAGTCATATTCAAATTGACGACATCCGATGGCTACCCCGGTTGTCCTTTTCTCGTGCTGTTGCTGCTGCCGTGCCGGCGTTTCCGGGGGAGTTCTTCGGGGCACACGCCATTTTCTGCCTCATTAGCCATCCACATTAGTTTTTCATGTGTGCATGTGTGTGTGTCCTACAAAGTGATGTGAGCACGATGTGAGCGCGAGCATTCCTTCTACGGTGGGCTGTTTTCCATCGTGAGCCAGCCGGACAGCCCTGCAGCCGTCTCTCTCCCCCTAATTGACCACATAGTGATTTCCTTTCCCGTAGCAGCTCGCTTTCCGTAAACAGTTTTGTGGCTGTTGGAAAGTTAGTTGTTACGGAGGTGAAATACGAGCAACAATATACGAAAGCCACGAGAAGGAAGCGAATCAACAAGGAAGCCCAGAGCAGGGCTAAGGGCACGCGCCCCAGCTGAATCATAGCTGGCAGTAGAGCTCGTAAGAACTCAGGTAATTACCTTATATTGTCCGTAAAAATTCGTACATTCACGCGGGTAAAGTGTAGATGTCCTCAGCGTAAGGTGGTAGAGAGTATAGGTGCCCTTGAAATTCCTATAAATGCCCCTATTCCTGTTCTTTCTCCCTATTACCCCACCTCCATGGGTTCACCTTCAGCATCGATTCTTTCACGCGACTCTACCAATCCCATTTCCCATATCGTTTCGGATTTCAAGAGGCCAGTTCTCCCATTACAATTTGAGGGCTTCCCGGAAAAGATTCATCGATTCTCCGGAGGAGGTCTCATCGAGTTTCCTTCCGCTATTGAAATGAAAGCGAAAAAACGGATAAAATGGCCTGCTCGTTTCGAATAAGCCGTGCCTCCCACGCAGGTTGAAAAACGTCACATTATTTGGATGTACAGCTGGTGAATAAGGCTCTTCAGAAACAGCACACAGAACCGAATACTTGCTGCAGGACGTTTCATGCAACGCAGGTTCGAACCAAAAGGCGCAGGAAGACTCAACTAGATCAAGATTGACCAACGTGGCCGTGAAGTAGCCACGTTCTTTGTTGCCAATGCAGTTCGTCTTTCACGTGATGCCCATTCAACTGCAGGTACGACTGAATGGAACCCGAGTGCATGGCTCCAATCTGAGTTAGTTCTGCAACGTCGCGAATTTGCAGAACAACCGAACCGCTGTTTTCTTCGCAGACCAAATCGGAACAAAGTAGCCGATCGACTTCAGCAGAAGGTGGGATTCGTCCGGCTGAGAGAGACCTAAATCCGAGGAATGACTCGTGAGCGGCGACTAGTACCGCTGAGCATCTCTACCAATATTACCTAGCCTTACCTGGATGGTCTGACTTCGACTCTTTGGCTTAATTCGTTGTATTATTTTTTCTGTGCCCTGTTTGTAGAGAACCTTTTGAGCAAACTACAACAAATGGATAAATAAATAAATAAATAGATAAATAAATAAATAATAATAAATGGTCAAAAGTTTTGAGAAGGTTCAAGCAATCCGAGAGCTATGTTCATCCATCCAGTAAATAGCACGCAGAGGAGACTATGATTGCTGGTTTTCACGATTTATTTTTGAAGGGCCTGAGTTGTGATGGACACGAATACGGGGCCTGCCATGAGTTTACTCAGTCTACTCGAGTCGTCTTGTGTCTTTTTGCTAGTTCATATTGGCTGTGTTTTAATGACCAGATCGGGCTTAGAGGCAAAATGCTCTTGAAATTCTCCAGTCATGAATTATTGCAGTGATTAGGTGATTTATTGCACTTGAAAAACTTATTTGCGTAGACGATCGAGCTCAGCTTCAACTTTTGAAGAAAAGTGGTTGGATTGAGTAAAAACATGGAAGTTAGAAAACTTATATGGGGGAATAAACAGAGGGATTAAATTTTCGCACTTATCGTTTCTCCCCTTGCTCTCAGACGGAACAAAAACTGGAAGAGAACCTAACCTCACTGTGCTTTCAAGTGAGGAAGGGAGGATAAAGAGCTCCAAGTGAACATAGGTGAAATTCTATGTCTTAATGAAAATTTGCAGCATACAGGGTGAGCACATTATGGATGACGTCGCGTGTGCGCGATCAAAACCGCATTGAACCATGCTTCGAAATTATGGAAATATCGCACTAACAATAAGTGTTCAGCCTGTACATCCTTCTGAGAAAACTTTCTGCTGTTGCCCTCACTTTGTTTTTGTTTTTACTCTGCCAAATAAATAAATGTGTAGCGGTCCTTAAAATCATGTGCCGGGATTAGTTTCCAAGAGCCAGTTTCTTCTAAAGTGAGAAGGGGGGTCTTCAAGTCAGGGAGGCATCGACACTGTCGTGACGCAAAGCAATGGCGCCAAGGTCATTGCCTTGTAAGCTGCCGGCGCTGCCACTCTAGCAATCGCGGCACACGTAGCGTCTGCGCCCTCCCACGTACGACGTACTCTATCGCGTTACCCTCTCCTCGCAGCGCTGTGTCTCTCCAGCCACAATCCCAACCCTCCTGTTACAAGGAGATTTCAGTGTTTCTATGGTTCTTTTTGCATTCTTCTCCTTTATCACCCCTGCACTGTTTTGCACTGGTTTTCCAACTAAAATATGCAACAATTCACTGCCCGATCGAAGCTTTAAAGGCACAACCCAGGCAGAGGTTTTTTATAACTCTTCTCTTCGGTCAGAAGTATAGAACCCTAGGGGACAATCACAAATGTGGCGTTCACGTGCACGGAATTCGACCGACAAGAACGCTTTGGGCTTGCAAAGTAAGCTGCTCGAGCTGCAGCGAACGAGCTCTCTTATCAGGCCGTTGTCTGGTGCTCTCTCATCTGATGCGCTCTCTCGCCCCATACTCTCCTCTTCGCGCTTAGTCTCTCGTTCCTTTAGCACAGCCAATTAGGAAGGTGAGTGAGCCCTCAACCTGAGCGTTTTCGACGGATTCTTTTCCTTTTTTCTTCACTGCCGGCCCACTTGGCACCGATACATTCACATTCGTGTGCAAGAGCCACACCAGTGCGATCCTGGGGCATGCCTTTAAGGAAAAACTTCGTAGGAATACCTTGTATTCGATCGTTATACGCACACATCTGAAAATCAGTACCGCTTCGCGCTGCGAGAAGTTCACCTCTATGCACTATTTTTCTTGTGGGCTTGATATTTCAAGGTGGTAAATATCAGGCTCCACAAGCTGATGAGCCATGGACTCATCAGATCACATGACTCGTAAATGTGAGTCATCCGAGTTGACATTAACTTGGTGACTCGTCAAGGTAATCGTTATTCACAAACCGGTAATCAACAAGACATTTAGCAGTGCTTCATTAAGTGGTACTAATTGAATCCTTTCCAACAACGGCGTGGGGGTGACATGAAATGGTAAAGAAGGATTTGTGGAATGGCCATGCTGAGATAGGATTGTTTCACAGTAAACCTTTGTAAGCTGTACGATTGCCAAAATTTGTTTTTTTCTCAAGTGAAAAACTTGGTAATGTCGCGCAAACAAAATTTTTTTTAGACGGTGTGCTATTTATTCCATCTGGCTTCAATGGTGGACACCATTTAAGAATAAGGGTGCAATCTTTTGAAAATGAAGAGGCCTAAAGGCACAGCCCACGACGTAAACCTAAGGATTTCTAACTTGAACGCCGAGAGGGGTTGCAGAGTCCAGGTCCACCAATGATGCGAACAACAAATCGAAACCAGCACAGAAAAAACTAAAACTTGTGCCTAAGTCTTCGTGATTTTGAATGCTGTATGACGGAGTAACACAGCACGGCAATGAGATGGAGTAAGGGAGAGATCACATCTTACGAGAGGCAGTAGACATCGCATATGCTACAAAGAAGAGCTTTCTTCTGCCCAGTGAGGGCTATCCTAGGAGTCGCTGCACTTGATGGAAGGATTATGCTTATAAATTCCCATCAAAGACAGTACCGTGTGCTACGAACAGCTACAATCGACAAGAAAAGGCAGCGGTTGCAGCGATCTGGAAAGTTGCTCTAACAAGCAAATCACAGCCATCCTTACTGAGTAACAGCTACTAATGGCTGAAGGAGAGAGAGAAGCAAGGGAATCGATCAGCATTAACACAAAGAAGGCTTCTATGGTGGACGACAGACAGGCAAGATCGTTCCGATCACGTATTCCTTGGAATAATTTTTATACATATCGCCCCACCCAGGTTTGTCATTTGCTGAATAATTTTTTTTTGATTTTTTCTTCATCTCGCATCGATGCCTTATGCTTCTGATGGTCAGCTTAGCTAGCCGCATGATCGAATGTGCCGAAATGTTCTAGGCAAGCACGATGAGCCTTGCCCATGAGGTGAACACCGCGCTCAAAATGACACAATTCAGTTAGTGTCGGAGCGACAGACAAGGAATTAGGCGAGTCTTGTGAGGCCAGATCCAATTAGGTCGGCAGCTAGACCATGTCGTTATTATTACGCGCCAAGTGACAAACAGAACTTGCTAGAACCTAAAACGCCTTCTTTCCCCCCTCTCGTGACAAGTAAACAAATAGGCACGGCAACAAGTTAAGTAGTTTTTATTGCTTCGGTCGAATCCGAGTTTTTCTTCGCGAGTTCGATAATTATTGCCGAGGCAGCTTCGAAGAGATCCTGCGTATCGAAGCAGTTGCTTCTATGGTAACTGAAAAAATGATATTTAGGGTGTGCCTGAATCACTTTGATAGCGAAACTGAACATGAGAATCAACCAGAATGCGAATGCGTGGCTTATCCAGAAGGATTGGATCGCTACAAGATACCGCAGAGTTTCAACGTCACTAACTCTGCCACTCTGCTACTTATTCAGCATCTCGGTAGTGGCAGCCCGGCTTTAGGATGCAGCTGGGGTTTAGGGAGGAGCGGGTGGGGATGACAATCCCCACTGTTGGGTAGGTTTTGGAGACATCATCTATTACTGGGTAGCAGTGCTCAGACGAAGAAGAAAAGAGGTAGTTTATGTGACTCAAGCTGAAAATAACTACATTATAAAGGAAGAAACCAGAGTCTGGTTTCCGTTTCACCCTGGCCGTTAGAGCAACAGTTTGCGATGGAAATGCAGCCCATTAAAAATCAAAGTAAACGTGGTCAGCATTGCAGGGCCGAAGTAGAAGCATGATAAACGACTCAGAACCCAAGGAATGGGG